CACTTGCGGTAGTTTTTATTCGAAATATATTTTCGATGAACAGCTATTTTGAATGTAAATTATTGTACACTAAAATCAATATTTATCCAACAAAATCACAATTTATATCTATTTTAAACCATGATTGAAGATGCTCTTCCAATAATCTAATGAAGTTGAGATGTATATTATTTATTGGACTGTGACTTCACCGTCAAATAAACTAGTGATGAACTTGAGTAGAAATAAATAGCATCAGATCAAACTGATCTATTATTGTAAGATTGTTTACACCTCTGCAAAGTTCAGACAGACAGACAACCGAGCCGAGCTGAGCTACATGTTCCCAACCTTCATAGTCTCTCAGAAATATAAATTCAAGATGACTGAAATATCAAATTTAACTTCATTCACACAGAAAATCATATAAATCCTAGATCTAGTAGAGTTTTCAGAAATAGTGAACATCAATCTGTTCTTGACTCAGTAATGATCGGTTAGGCTTGCAGTGCCTCAAGACAATGAGAATACAACGTAACTAATGCAGGATTTGTAGGCAAAACTAGATGATAATGAAGCTTGATGCCAGATATTCTTCCCTGGTAGACCTTATTCTTTATCAAACCTACTACGCAAAACAAAAAAAATGCGATTATTTTCCAAATGCAAATACAAATGCAGATCCAAATGGAAGTGCAAGTGCATCAATGCAGCCTCAAGGAAATTTTTCCAACACAGTTCATCCTGATTTTTTTTACAAATGAAAATGCGAATGTTTGTCCAAATGCAGATTTTCCCAGCACAATTTATCCTGTTTTTTTTCCAAATGCAAATGCAGATCCAAATGCAAGCGCAGGTGCATCAAGCAGTGGAGCTGGACACGGTGGTGCTTCTTTTTACTACCCCCCTTTCCAGGGGTAGAAACTAATTTTAATTAATGACAACATTAGCAGACAATAGTCGTTTTTGATTTTTTTAGTCTGCACTTCTTGATGTTTTGAAGTTACACATGATTCAATCTTTAGTTACTTATATTTGGAGAATAAATTAATGTTGTCCCTTTGCTTTTATCTCTGTACTCTAATGCAATGTCCGAGATTAATTGTCGGATGATGATAGAAGTCAATTAATCAGTAGAAAAAATCAATTGTTTTTTAATCATTTCACATTTTTAACCTAATATTTGTGGATAGTGTTGTTTCTGATGTCAAGCAAGAATAAAAAGTTGAAAACTCAGTTCTTTATTAAAAAAAATTGCTTTCCATGACATTTGATGAATTTTTTTTGAAATAAACGGGTTTGAAAATATTTTAATGAAGTTAAATGTGAGAGTATGCGAATTAGTTGTCTTATGATTGATTAAGTGCATATTCATTAATTATCTCGACCTGTAAGAAAGATTGATAAATTTCATCATAATTAATTAACTTTAAAGAATATTTGTCTTTTTGAGACGTAACATTGACTTAGATGCACGTTTTAGGATAGTGATCTCGAACTTCAGCATTTACAAATATATGAAAAAATGTACGCAAAGAATATTTTAGAGGGGAACTCGGGAGGCTCTCGCAGCCTCTAAAATATTCTTTGCCTCTCCATTCACTACTTGTTTCGGTGATTTGGCATCCCAAAATGTCTAGCAATTCTTCAAAAGATGGGGTTCGGAGTTCTTCTATGGAAGCAGTGCAAGGAAGATTAAAGGATTTCTTCCTCGGCATTGAGCATGACGGTTGATCCACCTGCCATGGAAAACATTAGTCATATGAAAATGAAAAATGATTTTATCATTCCCTTAAGTTTTCAAGATTGTTTCCTTAGCACCGTCTTCCGTAGATTGAAGAAAAAGTGATTTTTGTTTGACTCGAGCTAGTTTTTTTAAACAACATCAAACTAAGCATTGTTCTTTTAATAAATATAGGGTCGCTTATTTGACTTCTTTTTCAGTACTCCATTTTGCTCATTCCAAAATCTACTCAAATGTCTAAAATAGTTGGCAACTATACACTAGTTTTGGTATATTTTAAGTACCATAATTTTCTTCCATGTAATCAGGTAATAATAGCTTGTATACATTATTTTATATGAAAAAAATGCTATAGTAATCTCTTTTGTGAGGCAAAAAAACACAAGAAATCATGTTGATGCACAAATAGTTCAGATTTCTTCACATGTATTCTTCTAGAAGACATTTTCCTGCATTTTCTGTGATTTCCACAGTTTTGGGGTAGTGTCCGCTCTTCAGCTCTCTCAAGTCTCCAGAACAAGGGACAATTATCATGGAATCAAGATTGCTACATGCCTCATGGTCAAGTTGTAGTGAACCTGCATGGCTTTCTTAGTTAGATTCAGTTAACTTTTCGTCCAGTATATGTATCCTCTCTACCATAAATGATGCCATAGATGAAACATTTTTCTACAAAGCTTAAACTGAAAATGTGCGTGAAAAGGAAAGAAAGAAACTGGATAGCTTACGACCAATGGACGAGAGGAGATTCTTGCTTCCATATTTTTTCTGTTTTGGGGGGTTCGTATGTCCTCCTCGGAAAATTGGGTTCTCAAATCTTTCTCACATCCATGTTTGCTTGCACTATAAAGGCTTAACGTCATCAACTTCCACCATTTTCCTTTAACGTACAATATGTTTGTTGAGATGCAAAAAGGTCGCTCTTAAGTCCATGGGTTGGTTACTCAAATGATGGTGATCAAATATCATCAAAGAATTAGTCTGTCGTCCCTTTACACCAACTGCTTTTTAATTTGAAGATCCTCTTCTAAAATAGTTTTGTTCCCAAAAGTTACAACAGGAAGCACGAATATTGATACTCGTATCCATATACGAATCACGGAAGATTATGAACAGAATATAGTTAAAAGAAACAGGGAAATTCTTGACATTATTCAAATCTAGCTTTTGCTTAACATTTACCTGCAAACGCATAGAGAGGATGGGTGCCGTTGAGTTGAAATGCTGCACTTGCACGACATATATAGTTAGCTTATGTTCAAAGACACTTGAGCTCCTATTGATGGCATATGATTTTACGAAACAAAAAAGTAAATTAGAAATGTTGAACAGAACAGAATGACTGCTGATTTGAGGCTTGACTACTATCATCTTAACCAGTGGTGTCTCTGCACATGCTAAATGTAAGGTGGTTGAATTTTTCTCAAGTATCTTCTAAGGACCGGTTAAGAAGTGCTAAAATATGTACTTTTAGATGAATATGCAGCTAAATCATTCTTTTGAGATTGAGGGTGCTTTAACCTTTGAACTGTTGTGATTATCTGGCATAATGTTTGTGTTCGTAAAAGTAAAATGTTTTTGCATTTGTAGAACTGACGATCACAAGCCTTCCTGATAAGGAGGTTCCGGGTGCTTACCATTTTTAGTTCCACGTCGAAGTGCACGCATTCATTTGTATGTGTGCAAGGGAGTGAGTGAAAGAGAGTGATCGGTAATATTCTTTCCATTGCACAAGGATTGAGATACAAGTTGGTGCCTGAAAATGAGTTACAGGCTCCGAAAGACGCTGTTCCTGCAGCAGTGCACTTCCGGCTATGGGGTGACAAATGCGGGCCAATGGAATATTTCATATAATTGGAACAATCTTCTTTTGAGGGCAGGCAAAAGAGGGAAAGTGAGAAAGTGGTTGAATTAACTATGGCTTTTGTTGAGACGCCTAATATGATTGAGATACGTAGGCTGCCTGATTTCAGTGAATCTAAGTAGTATGTGCAGGAGGCTGTAATTTCTCCCCACTCTGTGTATTTTCCCACCAATGTATTGAATGTTTGATTCTGCTAATCATTAATTTGTGTGTTCTAACTCTTTGTTTTTTTGTTTCGGCTGGCAGGAGAACTGGGGAGGGATAGTCCGGGAGAAAGATGGGAAGTTCATCCTTCACTTCCTGATCTCTCTCATGATACCTAACAGACCCTTAGCCGCTGTGATTAAAGATCTGCTCACTCAATTGCAGCTAGTTTTTATAGTTTGATCTTCTTCTCACATATTTTCGTTGAATGTTTCACGTGTTTGGTTTCCAATATTTATTTCTTTTGTTCTTCGAGCATAATCCAGTGTCAGTCCAGAATTTGAAGTATCCGTGGTGAATAGCCATATATGCTTCACTAGGGGTGGGCAAAACCCGATCGAATCGCCCAACCCGAACCAACCCGACAGGGTTGGGTCGATTTTTTTGTTGTTTTTACATCGGTAGGTGGGTTGGCTGTGTCGACAGGTCGGGTCGGGTCGGGTTATGGATTAACACATAAAAATCGAATAAACCCGCCCAACTCGACCCGTCACTCTAAAAAAAAAAGAATAAGTTTTCGGGTTTTTTTCCTTTTTTTAATACTCAATCATGTTATGGGTCTTGTATCTTTTTCTGAATTGTTACTTTACAAGCTTGGTGGATTATGATATAGTTCTAATAAAAGGAGAAAGTAAGTTTTCTAATGCAAGTGATGCTCTGAAGAGAATGAAACTATATGAACAATCGAAATGCATAACTAGCAACGAAACACATGGCCTTAGAACTTGGGCTTATTTTCTACTCCTAATCTTTCATGTATTATTTGTACAACAGCATGTATTCCTCGAAAAGATATAGCAGTAAGAAATATTTGAGATGAGTCTTCATTGAAAATTAACCTAAGTACTTGTGATTGTATTGCAGCTCATCAATTTTGTGCATGGAACTGTCTTAAATCTATGTGCAGAATGGATGAATATTTTTATTGCGGCATTGTGTTAAA